GTCACCTGCCAGACGGCTGGCTGTCCAGTGCAATAATCAGCACAAGGTGTTAACCGAATTTCGATCTTGAATTCGAGCGAGCTTAGAAAATCCGCTAATGGCAAGTCACCGTATGCTACAGTCAACGTTTACGGGCCTTCGTTGAACCGGTCTAATATCATCGTCTCATGCTGCATAAATGCGGTAGGTCACGGTAACATTCGATCAGAATCTCGGTGTGGGCCTGTTCCTTTTGAAGATGATCAGTTAGTTTACCGATCGCGATTTATTACGCATTAGTGTCTGTTGAAGTGCTCAATGCCAGGCCTCGATCGACTTGCTATTATGTCAGAAATGCCTAACGTCAATTTTCGGTATCATTTTAAACGGTCAGACATCATAAGTCTGGGTTACTGTATTGTTTTAGCTCTGTTTGCCTCAGTTGCCTCGATAACCAAATAGCAACGACAAAAAAAGTTGTTTACAAGATCTAGGCACTGTCTTTGAATTAAAGTTGAGTTGATTAGTTTATTAAATCCATTTTTTCGTTTAATTACTTAGTTTAGCTCAGATTCAGGGAGTGCGCAATCACTCTTAAAACTGTAGAGAAATGTGGAACACTTTTCAGCAGCGCTGCCCGCGGAACATTCTGAAAGTGCAGTGGTTCCACTGAATGGAAAATGAAAAGATCTTGGAGATACCTACCTGAGAATACTGTCTGAACAAATCAGGGACCGGCGTCAGTCATGACCTGACACAACCATCCAGAGAGAGATTGGAGATTGATTCAAAGTCATTCTCCTCAGGAAAGCAAAAAATGGCCTCAGGCACTTCGGAGGCCAACATCACACCCCAAGGCTGCTGCCAAAGGCGGACTTGCTTGCGACGAGAAACGTCACCTTTGGCACAGCAACCAACATCGCCTAAATCATTCTGAGGAGCCAAAGTGTCATACATCATTAATCTCGATATTCGGTCTTTGGCTGTGATACCGCGGATGACGATGACAACAACACCATAACAAGGTCCTCAACGATTTCAAGGTAGTGAGCCACCTGTGTGTAGGGTCAAACCTGGAATAATTGCTGTCGTATTTTTTGAATGGCGAACGCGAACGCTTTTCTTGAATTACATGCCGATCGGTTTGTTACCAATCATCTACAGGATCTTCACCAAGGTACTGACGAAAGGACTTGAAGAAAAACCGGACACCGCAGTCGAATGAGCACGCACGATGGATGATGCAGAAGTGGACTTAGTGCGATGGATCTTATCCAGGTGGTTTAACGAGTGATTCAGGCAGACAATGTATATCAGCTTCCTCTGCCTGGTGTTTGTCGATTTCGAAAAGGCCTTCGATCAAGTCTACATCTCTTCTTTACTGGATTCCTTGAAGAGCCAGGGAATCGAGAATAGAAGCATTCTCCTCATCGCCGAAATTTTCAAGACTGCTATTGCTAGTATGATGCTCTACAAGGGTAAAACCGAGGTGATAATCGACAAAATTGTTCGGCAGCTATGCGCAGTATCACCGAAGGCATTCGCAGCAGCTCTAGGCGAGGTGTTCAGGGCACTTCGTTAAAAATATCAGGGCATTAAAATAAATAAGCGCTATTAGGAGAAAAACGAAAAGTACGAAACAAGCCTTTTTTGAAACGGAGAACGACTATGTGAAATCAGCAGAAGAATGAAAATGGCATGGACCACTTTGGAAGACTGTAAATGTGTTGTCCGTGAGAGTTCTCTTGTGCTTGACGCGGAAGGTATTTTATCACTGTGTGCTCGCAGTGTTATTCTGTGTGCGAAACATGGATCCTGACCATGAAAGCTGTTCATTAGCTGCAGACTACGCAGCATTGGGTATGAAGATGTTGGGAATGGCTAGAATAGACAGGAGGACGAATGAATACGTAAGACCACGAATAAGAAAAAGTTAAAGTATTGTTGTGAGAAAGTTAAAGTAGCAATGAGCGGGGTAAGTTGCAAGAACAACCGACCATTGCTGATCCAGAAAGTTGGTAGACTGGGTTGAAGGAGGGAGTAAATAGCCCGTTGAAAGACCTCTAGATAAATGACAGGATGAGGTGAAGAAATTCGCTGAATCACGATGGATGGCATTAGCAAATAACAAGTCTAGAGCGAAGTCTGAGTTCCTTTATCCAGTAGAGGATCGTCAAAGTCCGTCGATGCTCCAACTATCTAACTGTTGTGCATTATTTGTTCATGTTCATTATGTAAGAGTACGCCTTGGTACAACTGGTCACAACCACATGCACAGCGCTATCAAATTTAATCCACTATTTAATTTTGATAAGACTTCTCATTCACACGGGAGGGGAGGGCAACTGCACAAAGTTTGAAACGTGTTACATATGCGAGATCGTCGCGGATCTTTCACCGTATTGCACAGTAGTCGCACATTCGTCAGTCTGTTTTATATGATTTAATGATAAATAAAATATGCATTTATTTCAGTGAATTGTTTATCAAATCTGATTTCAAGCCATTAATTAGTTCCTCTTGAAACTTATTCAGAAGACACATATTCACTTTGATAATTATCACTGACACTGAATAATTAATGAACTATCAAAATTAATTACACAAACAAAAGCGGGAACTATTTGCATAATTATCACAGTCCGTGAATATTCGAATACTGTTCCTGAGTCATGCCTCTGCGCGTCACGACCCCGTATCGTAAATGCATCTTCCTTCATGTTTGGTGTCTCAAACGTCATCAGTGACGAACAAAGTATTGAACAGGCAACGTATAACACTGTGCCGCGGCAGCTGAAATCTGATGTAAAGTGGGATTCGCGGGCCCTCCCTTTGTTTTGTTCGCCTTATTCTCTCTGCAGTCTGGCTGTTTGTTCGGATAGTGAATTTATTAAGTGGCAAAGTGTTCTTCTGAGATAAAAAATGTTGCAATACGTGCCTTATGTTGGGTGTTTTCGCAGATTGCCAATTCGCAGCGAATGAGGAAGTTATCGTAGGGGGGTCAGAAACAGCAGCTGTCTGGTCCGTTTTACATCCATGAGTGGAACGTCGCGCGCTTAAAGAGCGAGGTTGTTGCAGCCGCATGAGGAAAATTGATGAAGACCTTTAGCACGGCGTTTGTGACGTCGTGACGTTTCCGAGCCGGTAATCGGATAAAGCGGATTACGAGCCGCTGATGTCTTGTCGGGTATCGATTTCGCTCCCTTCCTCTTCATCGTTGTCACGTCGCTTTCGCCCGCCATAGTCAGATGTGCCCTACGAAGGTCTCCGTTTACGGTAGCCCATAGCTGATGTTCGACACTACGTCGGTGATGCAGGTGTTTTTCGAGTGCGTGTTCCGCGGCGACCTCGGAACGAGTCTTGTATGACTGTACTGGATCAGGTCGTAGACCTCGGCAGATGTTCGCCGAGTTCTTGCTGCTCGCCTTGTGCGTGTCTTTCTTCGCCTTCGCCGCATGCGTGTTCTGCGCGTCCGTTCTGTCCGACAGGGACGTAGCACAGCATTCGCCACCTTTACCACTTCCACTGATCTGCTGGTCGTTGCCGCCTCCGGCCAACGGCCGATCGTCGGTCAGCGTTGACGTCGCATCTGTCGCCGTACCTGCTCTATCCACTTCCGTCTCCGTCTCGGACATGTCCATTTTATGCGCACCCATCGCCGACAAGCGTAACCCGAACCCCAGCGTCGCTACCGTCGAAGGTTGCGGCCGTTTCGACGAGACCTACATTTAGTTGCCAGTCACCTCAACGACTAGGAGGAGGAGGACGACGACGAAGACAGTGGCTGCTCGTTCGCTTTCGATCGTTCGGTAAGTACTCAGTGAGTACTTAGTGAGTAGGCGAGCTCGGTCGACTGCCTCCCGAGCTGGTGATCATTGTTCATTGTAAATT